GACTTCATTTAGGCCAGTGGGTCTCGACTTCCTAATGCCGCAACCTTTTAATACAGTTCCTCATGTGGTGGTGACTCCCCAATCATAAAATTATTTTCGTTGCTACTTCATCACTATAATTTTGCTACTGTTATGACTCGGGTGACCCATGGGAAAGGGTCGTTTGACCAAAGGGGTCGTGACCCACAGGTTGAGAACTGCTGATGTAGGCCTTCTTCTCTAAGAGATCCAGAGTGCTACTCATGGCTACCCTTCAGTCCACACTGACCAAGTTGAAACATGTTTAGTTGTTTGTTTTGTGACCAAAATGCTATTCTAGAGTCAGCAAGGGCTTCCTTCACTCAGAGTTGGAAAATCATCTTTCACCTACCAGCTCGTTGACTTTGGGCACCATATTGAATATGTTGGAGTCCCATGGTAATGCCGATGGTCAACATGCTCATGTAGAGGTTGGAGGCTGGAGTCTACCAGTGAGACCTCAAAAGAAAGGTCTTGTGGTCGACTTGCAAACACTCATCCATTAAAGACCCTGTGGCACGCAGCTCTATCTGATGCACATGGGGCCACTGGGCGTCAGAACCAACTCTGTGACAGCTGGTTTTTTATTTAATCTTTGAAGTCTCAGCTACCTTGGTTGTACAACTGCAAAAATAGCCACAAGGATTAAATGAGGGAATAAGTATAAAAGCGCTTGGTACAGTGTTTGACCATATGTACTAGTCAGTGGGTGCCCGTTTTCTCTATGCAAGCCACAAAGCTCAATATGGCTTTATTTCAAAGACTACAAAAATCCAAAGCATCATGTCTACTAACCAATAATGTACTACAAACAAACCTCTACTAACAATGGAAGTCCATGGTAAGTCGAGGCCGACCAACAAAGCTAGGAGATGGTTTTCCTGACTGCAAATGACCCTTGCCTTGGTTTCTACCATAACAAAGAGGAGCCGGGTTCTCCAGGGCAGTGGTTGCTATATAGTATGACTCCTATAATCAAACTGATTTGAGTCTCTCTTATACCTAGATTGCTGGAATTTCTAAGACTTATCAATATTTATCATAGGAATAGAAAGAAGAGAACCATGACTATTCCATTAGTAGGGTGAAGTCATTGGCTGTGTAAAGGTCAACTAGGTCAGCTATAAGGTTATCTTATGAATGTACAATAATATCAACTCTTCTATTTTCCTCTACCACCACTGTACTGCTAAATTTCTGCAGCTGCCTAGTGTCCTGCTGTTCAACCACTTGGTTTACACCAGCAATGCTGATGTTGATATGGCCAATACTGGCCCTCTAAGTGTTTAAGAGCCCTGGTGGTGCAGTGGTTATGCACTGGCTGCTACCTCCAAGGTCAGCAGTTAGAAGCTACCAACAGCCCCATGAGAGAAGATGGAACTTTCTACTCCCATAAAGTGCAACAATCTTGGAATCTCATGAGGGCAGTTCTATCCAGTCCAATAGGGTCACTATGAGTCAGAATGGATCTGATGGCAGTGATTTTTAAAAAGTGTTTTACACATTAATTCATCTATTGACAACTCAATGGACCCTGTTCTTACTTTTCCTCGTGCTACATATAAGGAAACTGTAATACAAAGAAGTCAACGACATTGCCCAAGATCATGAAGTAAACCCAAGCAGCCACGCTCAGGTGCCCATGCTCCCGATTGATCACACTGTCTCTCCACAGGTATTCTTGTCATTCTCAAAGGTACATAATAACTCAAATAAAGTGAATAGCGTGCTTCACTTGAAATGTCATAAGACCTATGTAAGGATCATCTAAAAGTACCGTATATACTCGTATATAAGCCGAGTTTTCAAGCACATTTTTAATACAATTTTTTTTTGCTTTTTTTTCTTTTTTAACATTTTATTAGGGGCTCATACAACTGTTATCCCAATCCATACACACATCAATTGTGTAAAGCGCATTTGTACATCGTTTCTCAAAACATTTTCTCTCCGTTGAAACCCCCGACATTAGGTCCTCATTTTAATACAATTTTTGTGGTAAAATTAGATGCCTTGGCTGCTATTCGGGTCAGCTTATACTCAAGTATATACAGTAGTTTGTAATTAGCTAATCAAAATGTTTGATTTTTGGAGGACTTTACTTGAGGATGTACTTCATCTCCTTCTAAGAATTGTATCACAATCTGTTCCTGGAAGCTGGTAGGAAACTCATTTTCCTTCCAGGAAGCAGCATTGGCCAGACCACTCATGGCTGTGTAAGAGCAACGTAGTGGGAGGCCAGAGTCTATTGCCTGGTTCCTGTCCTCAGCTGTATGTTTCTTGTGCATGTCCATTTCCTAAAGAGTGAAGCGAAGGAGGAAATGATTGTAGGACAACGGACCCCGAATGAAGAGGCAGCGTTCCAGTACTTTCCCCTTGCCACTGGAGGAATTACCTGGAAAACTTGTCTAGTGCCAATCTTTCCAGAGCCAGGAAAGTAAATTCAGATCTAGGAATGAATGACTCGGAGCCTTTCATGAATTCCTTCAGGGATATGAGCATGATTCTATAGTAAATGACATTTTAAATGATGAAATGGTATTAAATAGAAAGATATATAAGTGATTAGATGTAAATTTTACAAGAAGAATATTAGAGATGATTTAACTTACATATTAGGGACTTCTGACATCCTTCAGAAACAAAAATCCCCACTTCTGGAAGAAGGGGAGTGGTCTTCAAGGTGCCCAGACATCCATGGGTAGAAGGAAGACTGCGCTGCTCACTGTGCCCTGCCTTTCCCTGCCCACTCTTAAAAGCTCCCTAAAATCTTGGCTGCGCGACCTCAAGGAAGCATAACTCCTATGACAAGTAGGTGAGGCAGGGCCTTTTCCTTGTCCTTCCTGGGAACTGGTACTTGTCCTAGGTGGCCCTGGTCCTGGCACAGACGCACTGATCAACAACCAAATGGCCTTTGTGGAATTTTTACAACAGAGGGTCATGCTGTGGAAGTTCAAAACCATGCTCCCAGGTTCTATCAGCCCTCATCTTGCCTCAATTATCCCTCACAAAGCCTCACAGTGTTCCTTGTCCCAGCCTGAGCTTCACCTGGAGAAAGGATTCCTAGTTAAAAGTGACTCATAGGACCACCAGGACTCATGGGTAGAGCCCTGCACACCCTTCTAGCCTGGGGTCCTGTGGAGTGGAAAACAACAGATCAGGCATCAAAGAAGAACCAACTTCAAACCTGATATACTGTCTAACCTTGGGCAATACACTGAACTCTCAAAGCCTATGTTTTCTGAAATCACAGCTTTGTGAGGATGGAATGTCATTTGTGTGCCCAAACCTAATAAGGTACATCAATCCCCCTGCTGGAAGCTAGGAAGCCAAGCATGGAGTTCTCACTTGCACGTCTGTCCCTGAATGAAATCCCTGGCTGTCTGAGCTTTGGCTCTTTTCACGGCAGGGACGCATGTTTAGTAAGAGACAGTGGTTTTGTTGAGACTGGGTATTTGAAAAAGACTTTTAAAGAGACTCCAAGACCTCACCAACGGATGATTTTACAATAGCAGCACTTTTCAAGGCCGTTAAAGTAAAATAACTTAAACAACAAAGCCAAATGAAATCAAATGAGGGCCATGTGTCAATTCCAATGATGCTCCTCTACTTACTGGGTAGAGGATTAGTCAGTGTAAGTGGGAAGGCATTTCTCCTCTGAAATTACATGAAGGGACCCCGTGGTGCAGTGATGGAGTGCTCAGCTGTTCACTGAGGGGTCAAGGGGCTCAAACTCGCCAGCAGCTCCGTGGGAAAAAGGTGTGGCTGCGTGCTTTCTTAATGATTTTAGCCTGGGAAATCCATAGGTGCAGTTCTACTCTGTCTGATAGGATTACTCTGATCCAGGATTGAGTCCATAGCAGCGGGTATTTGGTATTGTGAGCTTGAGTTTACACACAGAAAAATTGAAGCTAAGAAAGGATTATTGAAGACTTATTCAAGAGTTCCTATAGAAGGGGGCACCGAGAACATGCCAACAATGGATATTTTAAAACTGCATTTGAAGTGACGTGTCACTTACAGAAGAGAAAAGAATAATCTAGTCACTCACCCGCAGAGAAGGCAAATTCTTGTTGAGTGAATGAATGACGATGCCTATGGAATCGTCATAAGACAAAACAAATGGCTATTGGATACAAAACCAGAAAACCAAACCAGACCAGAAATCACCGCCGCACTCACTGGCATTGAGCCGATTCTGACTCGGAGGATCCTGAATGGTTTGAATGAAATCCTTGCGGAGAGGTCCCTAGCTGAGGTGCTGACTTTCCTGAAAGAAAGCCTGTTCCGTGTTTCAGCTGGAGAGCCAGTGCCTGTGCCCCACTGAAGGTAACGGCCGGCGAGCCTGCCAGGACCTCCAGTGACCCGACTGCGGAAAGATGATGCGGAAAAGCTCAAAGGAAGGAAGTCGTTGATGGAGCCCAGGGAGAAGAGGGGCAGGTAAGTTACACAATGGGATGCAAAGAGTGTAGGAATGGCAGGGGAGAGAGAACAGTAGTTCTTTTTAAATGTGCCTAATCCAAAGATTAAGTAATGCCTGTTATTTATAAAAAGGGTATTTTGGACAATGAAGTTAGTAAACAATGTTGGACTGCTTCTCTCTTCCTCTCGTCTCTTTCTTTGTATCTTTCCCTCTCAATGTAATTGGAAAAGTATGGGATTTCTTTCTCTGTAAACCCTAAGTCCTTCGGGGACCTCATGGTGCAGTGGGCTGGCTGTTGGGCAGCTGATCGCAATATCAGCAGTTCAAAACCACGAGCTGCTTCTTGGAAGAAGGATGAGGCTGTCTGCTCCCATAAAGATGTTCAGTCTTGGACATCCACAGGGGCAGTTCTACTCTCTCCTACAGGGTCGCTATGAGTCAGAACTGATTCGATGACAGTGAGTGAGTGCTCTAAACACAGATTCTATATTATTTGATTTCAAAGCGTGGGAGGCGTATACTGCTTTGTTTAGAGCAAACACGGCTCTGTTCACTTTACCTTGGGTTTATATGCACTGAGCATGGACATCTCTACATTTTGACCTCGGACGGGTTTTGGCTGCCTCTGGACCGGCGGCGCGGAGGACTTCTGGTTGTTGCGGCAGACACAGATGAAAAAGAAGAGGAAAGCGATGGCCAGGGGAATGGCCACGCTCGGCACCAGTATGTACAAGATTTCCATTTTATTCTTCTCCTTGGAATCCTTTGAATCTGGGTGTAAAAACAAAGAAGAGCAAATGTTAGGCTCGTTAGAATAACACATATAATGTTACATTCCATGCTTTAAAATCCTTCTATCCTACTATACACACAAATCCACTGTGGGAAGGGGGGAAAAAAGAATCCATTGCTTACTAAAATGTGTTTCCATCAAACCTTCAACATAATTCACTGAGGTTAAAAAGTTTAAAGTTCAAACGTTTAGAAATTGCACAGGGTTCTGATGAAGACTGTCTATGTGTGTGGGTCCCCTTCTGATTTGGCTTCTCTGTAGCTGTAGACCAGCATTTCTCTAACACCTTCAAAGTTAAACGTCTCGTAGAGAACTGTATATATCCAAGACCGTTAATGTAGCCTAGAAGGCTCTTCCTCCATTGGCTATCAGCCCAGAGCAGCTCCCACTGGGTTCCAGGAACCGTGCCCTTGCTTGGCTGGTTTCGACTGCCAGGGCCAGGCCTGCATCTTCCAGCACTGACATCACTAAAGAATCCTGGCCCCAGTGTCTGCAAAGTCACAGAGCGGGCCGAGAATGCAGGGCCTAGGCTCAGGGCTCGGTCCGCCTCTGGGGAGCTCTGCACCTTGCACAGGTCAAATGAGGTAAAAAGCATTTACCTCTCTGGGCCTCATTTCACTCCTCATCTACAGAAGTGAGGTGTCTGTGCTGAATGGCACCGGGGTTCTCTACCACAGAGCAGTTCTATAAATCCTGGTTACAATTTTTTTCTGTTTCAATTTTTAAAAATTTCAGTACATTAACTTTAGAGAGAGGGGCCACCTAATGGTATGTCCTGGTAACCAATAACCTCATCGGATTGTTTACGAAAATCCAAATTGGTCAACTCAAATTCACAAGAAAATGAGTAATGCACTCATAATATCAACCCTTCACTTGTTCATTAGTTCAATGAACAAAATGGCGTGGTGGTTAAAGCACCAGGCTGCAAACCAGAGATTGGTGGTTCAAATCCACGAGCTGCTCTACCGGAGAAAGATGTGGCGTCTGTCTCTGTACAGATTGACACCCTTGGGAGCCCTATGGCAGCGGTTCTGTTCTGTTTTACAGGGTTGCAAGAACTGGAATTGATTCCATAGCAGCGGGGTTTTGGGTTGGCTTGATATTATTAGCTTGATTTTATGTACAGAGAACTTGAGGTTAAGAGGAGATTATTGAAGATGGATGCAAGAGATTAGAAAGGGGCAAGTTAGTTAATTGTGCCAACCTGGCCAATAATCACATGTGGGGCTAATTGAAAGGCAGATGGATAAATGGGTGGTGAGCCTCGCCTTTCTGGGACTTGGAAGTGATGTATAGCACACAATAACAACGTTGTCCCACCCCCAGGATAAAGCAAGCATTATCCCCTGAAGCTTCAGTGTTATTCAGCACTTTTCAGGAAAATATATAACCTAACATGTACAACATGTCTCTTGCTTTGTGATGGTCGCACCAGGGTGCAGCTGCTTTAGCAGTTCCCTGCTTCAGCTTGCAAGATTGACTTCCTACAAGACATCCCCAAGGAGAAGCCACATGAACCTATCCCAATGCAGCCCTGGGTGCTGGAGCAGCCGTGTGGAGACCCCTGCCAGTGCTGAGATGCTTACACGTTCACGGACTCAGCTTTCCTCCTGCAGTCGGCATTATTGCCTCTGTTTTGTGAGGTGGAGGACTTTGTGGACTGGTGTTGGGTTAATGGGTTACTGTTGGACTTGTGGGCTTGGGCAGCATTGAGTTGGGATGTTTTCGTGATGCAAACTTTCTTTATATAAAACTCACTTATACACGAGTTGCTGTGGATTTGTTTCTCTAAAGTACCTAGACTAATACAGGGGCATTGAAAAAATGCACAGGAACCTCTGGCTACAAAATACAGAATGAGAGTCTTAACTCCACACCAGCCCAAGGACAATGGCCATGAGGCAGAGATCAGCCACGCCCCCACTCTCCGTTTTCCATATCCCTCTGACACCAACCATATGGCCTCCGACTTCTCTTGGGTTTCACAATTCATTGCAATAGCCACGCAGTACTCAATGAGGGGCTTTATTTTGGAAACTGAGAGGTGACAAAATGTTAACGATACAGTTCTTTTGTCTGCAATGCCTCTTCTCAGCCATGCTAGCAGGCATGTCTCTCTGGTCCTGGACCTCTCAGCCACGCGGTCCCTTAGCCTTGTTCATTCTGTCTGGGAACCTACTATATTACTCCGCCTCATGGTCTTGATGCTGCACCTCCACTCTGCCTCCCCATCTGAGAGTGGCTTTGCCTCACTGGTTTCGGTCTTGCTCCCCTGTTCTGGCTCCTGATCTTGGCACTACGGCCTCTGCTGCCTTCACCACTTCAGATTGGGATTTTGCATGTGCACCACCGGTGGCAATTCTTTCTTGTTGGTCACAGGATTCCCTGTCTTCCTGCGCCTGAGATGGCTCACTTACCTGCACAGTGGAATGGCAAAACTGACCAACCTCCCATTTGCATTGTCCCAACCAATCATTTGATGGGTGTTATGAAGACTTGGTTAGAGGAGCCATATTAAGTAATTTACTTTACCACATGCACCAAAAGCTGAGTGTTGAGAATATACAATGTACTAACCCTCAGATGAGTTTGGGGAGAGGTAAAATCTGGTTTCTAGTTATAATTAAAAATTAATGTTTATCATTTTATTTTGGCAGAAATCATAGTACTGATTATTATGACTATGGACCAGGTACAGTTCTAAGCCATTTTACTGAACTCATTTATCCTCACAAACAACTCAAGGAGGCAGGTACCAACCATGCTTATCTCCCCTTTTGTAGACGAGAAAGCGGAGGGACAATGGTAACATAACTGGCCAAGAGCACATGAGGGGCGGTGGGCAGTGCTTCAAAAAGCTGGTGGAAAGTTTCCATGACCTTTTACTTTCCTTTTCCACAAACCTTTTGAAGCCCCCTCACATAGCAAGTAAGTAAAAAGTTTCCATTTCTGGCTGTTGGCCTTGCTTCAGAATTCCCATTCTATATCACACTGCCAGGAATTTGAGAATGGCACCTCCGGGTGGTCCCAAGGCTTGACACACTTGGCTGCTCATCCAAAGGGCAGTGGTTTGAGTCTAGCGAGAGGGGCTTCAGGAAGAAACGCCTGACGATCTGCTCCTGAAAACTCAGTCGATGAAAGCACTGCAGAGCACAAGAGCCCTCCGACGCCCACTGGGTTGGCATTGACTCAACAGTGTCCACTGGTTTGATTTAAGAATGGCAGTTTTGTGACTCTTTTCTTGGGGTTTTAGGGTGCCTCCTGTTTCCTGGAGGTAGGACAGAAGAGGTCAGTCTGAAAAGTACCAAATAACACTGAGGTTTCAGCAGATCTGCTGCCTTTGAACTTAGTCCTCCGTACACTCATCTCTCACGACCATTGAGTCGAAGCACAGCGACTCAGTGACCCTACAGGAGAGGGCAGAACTGTCCCTGTGGGTTCCTGTCTTTCTCGGCCAGAGCGGCTAGTGGAGAGATTTCATGTCTGGTCTAGCAGCTCCTAACCACGCTGCCACCAGGGCTCCTTCCATAAAGAGTACAGCCCAGGAACTCCTAGGGGGCAATTCTAGTCTGTTTTGTAAGTCCCCTGGGACTTGGAAGTGATGTGTAGCACACAATAACAACGTTGTCCCACCCCCAGGATAAAGCAAGCATTATCTTCTGAAGCTTCAGTGTTATTCAGCACTTTTCAGGAAAATATATAACCCAACATGTACAATGTAAATGTACAGTGGAAGGCCATTCTAATCATTGCTAGAAACTGAGTCTCATGAGTCTTAGGTCTGTGGATGTGTAGATAGATGGAAAGATCTCACCTATGCGGCAGAGTGCCTACCACAGGGCCTCACTCAGATGCCTATAGGTCCACACAACAGAGCCAGCAGAAGGAAGTGCATTTTAGAGCCAGAAACCGCTGAATACGGTGCTTGCCTTCAGTAGGGACTGATTCTCTGAGCAGACTGTTCTGTAAAGTGGGCATGATAGTGCCTACACTTCACAGCGTTGTTGTACGGAAGGAATGAAGAGGCTGGTAGAATTCAATGACATGTTAGTGTCATAGTTCCTAATCCTTTTGTATTGGAAGGGCACTGGGGGATAGAGGTATTGGTTGGAAATTCAAAATTGCTCTAAGCAAGAAACTTAACTTGTCTTGCCCCAGTTTCCTGGGGCAATAGGTACCATGATACCTACTTTCCCTAACGTAAGGAGCTCTGGTAACCAAAGGTCAACAGTTCAAACCCACCCACCACTCTATGGGAGCAAGATTTCGGTCTGCTTCCCAAAAGATGTACAGCTTTGGGAACCCTATGGGACCAGTTCTACTTTGTGCTATGGGGTGGCTATGAGCTGGAATAGGCTCTGTGGCAGTAGGAGAGTAGGCTTTCTATCACATTTAGTTCATATGAGCATCAAACGAAATACTGCTCATGACAAAACCTTTAAAAATGAAGAGCTAACAGTTGTTGGATGCTGTCATCATCATTATGAATAGTATAAAACTCTTCAAATTTCTTGTGGGAGGAAGGGGGAGATCTCTGTTGTTCTTGGATCTTCGCTGGGATCACCAAGAAGGTAATGATTAGGAAAGGAATGAGGCTAATTTAGTACTAATGTAACACTAGTCATTTTTCCGGCCGAGGTTTTTAGCAACAAGAGCAAGTTGGGCTCTCACCTGCTCGGCAAACAAAGCAGTCTATTCATTCCGTATCAGATTATGCAGGGAACGCCTTTGCTTGTCAACGGGAAGCCTGGGACAAATCCCCCTGTAGGTTTGCGGAAGAACACACTTCAAGAAGCTAAATCCTTTAAACATAGACAAACTTGACTCCTTCTGATTGTACTGAGGGTGTGCGAGTGAGCACAACAGGCTCCGTGTCTTCTTGCCAAGTACAATATGCAGGCGGAAGAGAACGTGGTCACATAGGAAGCGACAGACAACACATTCCGTCCTATTGCAAGTCTACTGTGAAGTGAGC